ACAGCTGAAATTCTGTCTCATCTCTTGGTCAAGGGGCTCAGCTTCATTTTAGTTCTTGCAACAGGAGCTGCTTTGGACTGAATTATCCTTGTAGTTGGCTACTCCCTCATTGCTCAAATTTATATTTAATTCCATTATTCATAGTAAATCTATTCTGGATGTTGAAGCATGAAGTACATGAAGATCATTCTTTGAAGAGTCATCTCTTTAGACATCTGTCTGAGTTGATGAATTAATTATATAGTAAAGTGGTGTTACCTTTTAGTTTTGAGACTTCTGATGGCAGCTGTGTATCTTGAGCTTGGAGTCCTTCTCCAGGCTTGGCTGCTTATGAAATGTATATGGATCCAAGGTTTTTTTTCAGGCTTTGGTTTCCACTTCAACCTACTGGCAATTTTAAGTAGCTTAACTGATAGGGCCTGATGCTTCTTTCTGACATTTACATAACTTTTGCCTTAGCAGTTGGTTTCACTCAGGATTTTGGGGAAAGGGTGGATGGTCCTCCTGTCATGGAGTATTCAACAGGATTTTCAATGGTAGAGGTATGTTTCCAGTAAGTAGGGATTTTCTTTCTTCTGTGTTGAAGTGGGAAAACTTGCCATATATTTCTCTGGTTAACAATTTTCATTTGTTACTTCACCAGTTTTGAGGGATTTGTAGGAGTTACAGAGCTACTGTTCTAATTACAAATACTCAAATATGCTAGGTAACTTAAGTGTAAGTAAGGTCTCCAGGGAGACCTTATTGTAGCCTTTCAATATATAAAGGAGGCTTGTAAGAAAGATGGAGAAAGACTTTTTACCAGGACCTGTAGTGAGCGGACAAGGGGCAATGGTTTTAAACAGAAAGAGCATAGATTTAGGTTGGGTATAAGGAAGACATTTTTTACAATGAGGGTGGTGAGACACTGGAACAGCTTGCCCAGAGAAGTTGTGGGTGCCCCATCATTGGAAGTGGTCAAGGTCCAGTTGGATGGGGCTTTGAGCAACCTGATCTAGTGACAGGGGGGTTGGACTAGATGATCTTTGATGGTCCCTTCCAACCCAAATGATTCTATGTTTCTATGATTCTACTGCCTGCAGTCAATGACAGGGAGATGACTTGTTTACTTTTCCTTAAGACCATATGTAAAAATCACCTATGGCGTCAAATTCATAAACTGTCTAGCCCAGCGTGCTGTTGCAACCTGTAGCAACAGGCCTTGCTACTTATGGGTTGCATGCAAGTCTAGCTGTTCCTGGTGTCCATTCTCCTTGTACTCTCTGGCATCTGCAGTTGTGTGAGGTGATGTATACTTCAACATCACCTTTTCTTTAGTGTCTGTTTGTCAGGAAACTTGTGTAACCTCTCTTCAAATCTGTTGGCACAGTCTGCGTCACTAATCTCAAGTGGAAACAAACCCAGAATTTTGCTACTTGCAGCTTAAAGAAGCACTTTCTTTTTTCTGTTTTAAACCAATCTCTGACTAGTTTCAGTGAGTGCCCTCTGTTGTGGGATTTGGTGATTAACAGTTAATCATTCACCTTATCCATTGCCTTCCTGATCTTTGCACTTTGATCATATACCCCCTTCAGCCTTCTCTTTTCCAAGTTAGTGTCAGCCTTGTTAGTCTCCTAGGGCAGCTGCTTTATTCCCTTAATTATATTAGTCTTCTTTCTCTCTGCTTTCTCTTAACTCCACCAAGTCCTCCATGAAATGTGGATGCCAGAACTGCACCCAGTACTGAATGTGTGGGTATATGAGGGTTTTATGGAGAGTCAAAATGATGCCCTCTGTGTTCTTAATCACCTTCCTAGTGGTGGCTGGTATTTTATTGCTATTTCTGGCGGCTGCTGCTTGCATTGAGCTGATGTTTAAGAGGATCATGAGTGGTGATAGAAGATCTCTCTTGTGAGCTGTAGCTGCCAAACTTTAGTTGTGTCGCATAAGCATAGTTTAGCTTTCCCAAGGTTCACCACCTTTTATTTACGCAGAAGCTCATCTGTCACCTTTTGTCCACTGAGTTTTGTGAGGCCCTTCCACAGTAGCTCACCATTGGTACAGCACTTAACTGCCCATTTGATTACTTGGACAAAGTTCTCCATTGGCATACAGATCATTCAGTTCAGTAAAAAAACCCCAAAACAAAACCAAAACCCTGAGAAATACCTAGCTGCTCAATAAACATATTGTCAAAGCAAATTAGGTCTTTAAAATCTTCAACTATCAAGGCTCAGGTAAGCTTTTCTGCATACAACTGAGCAATGTGTGATAGGTCTTGCTGATAATATTCAAGTCTTGAGCAGTTTAATTTCTGATTTGTGTTGTTTGTAGTATCTGATAGTAAGACTGCTTTGGTTTATATTCAGAAGGTTATTAATAACAACTTGAATTTTACACTGACTGCTGTTTACCAAATTAGTAGCCAGTCATACGGTTTTATTAATGACTTTGTTAGACTGTATAGTCCCTATTAGAAGTTACTGCCCAGACCAGATGCGAGAAAATATTCAAATTTTCTTTGAGGTTCATCCATTCATGAACCCAACCAGCCAACTGTAAGATAGAAAACAATTTTTTTATAGACAAGGTGAAACTCTTCTAATCTTTAGATCTTCTGAAACCCAGAATAGTCAGTAAATCCAGCTCATCTCAAACTGCTTCATAGCTTTACATTCATAATCGGTATGTTTCTTTCAAATTAATTACCATTTAGATCATATTTTGTTAGATAGTATTTTGTGTTCTGAAACTTATTAGTGTATTTTTTTCTGAATGTATGAAGCTGGTATTGATTCCATTTTTTATGCTTAGAACAGTTATTTAGCATGGCCTGAGTGGAATAGCACTGGATGAGCTTTTCTTCAAGATACATCTGTACTGGTGGAGGAGGGGGGTAATTCAAACTGTGGCCTTAACTTACTTCCCCTACTCCCTTAAGTACTTCTCTTCACGTTTCACACTTGCCACTATTGCTTATAAAAAATTTTGCTGAGTCTGGGGAATAGTCAACAGTATCAACAGAACTTTAAGAAGAGACCATAGGCAAGATGGATTTCAAACTGTGTACAATGGTGTACTTTTGTCTGTTAGGATAATTTTAGGAATTGCTTTTAATAACAACTATTTTTTCCTGAAATTAGTGCTGTTGTGATACGAACCCTGAGAGTATTATGAGGTGCTTGTAACTTGTGGCATGGATTGGGGTTATTTATAATTTTGGTATGATCTTCATTTTGTTTTTGCAGGTTTGGACTAAGCAACAAATTTGAAGCAGAATTTCCTTCATCTTTAACTGGAAAGGTGAGTATCTGTGAATAGGAATTTGGAATTAGAGTTAAGATTTTATTACAAAAACAAGACTTCCAGGTGTAGACCATTGTAAGAGTAATAAATAGCACTGCTGTGGTACTAGTTTGTTTTTTCTTTGGTTTTTTTTTTTCCCCCTTGTAGGTTGCACCTGAAGAATTTAAAGCCAGCATCAGTAGAGTTAACAGTTGTCTTAAGAAGAACCTTCCAGTTAATGTACGATGGCTACTATGTGGATGCCTTTGCTGCTGCTGCACTTTAGGTTGTAGTATGTGGCCAGTTATCTGCCTCAGTAAAAGAGTAAGTTGAACTATTCATGTAATTTTTGATAGTTAGAATTGTACTGGGTTTGTTCTCATTTTGGCTTTTTTTTCCTCCCCCACTTTTAAGTAAGTCCTAGCACACAGTTTTTAAATCAGTTTGATTTCATACATTTTGGTATCAGTTGTCTGTCATACTAGTTAAAGTTACAACAGACACCAGTCAGAACTTTGAGCTTATAACTCACTGAGGGGTAGTATAGCTGAATGTCTTTGCTAGAACTATGTACTGTACAGCACTATTATTGAAGTAACTTTCAACATACTTCTTTAATAGCTGCATCTTCTCTGTGATACACTGTTTGGGATTATCAGAATTTGGCAGTGATTGAGTGGCAGTTTGTTTTGAGGAGCTTCTGATTACACTGTGGCCCAAATAGCCATACATTTTTGTTTAAAAAGGCAATTTTTAAAAATATAATAATTGATTTTTTCTTTTTGGATTTTCCTTCCAAGCTGTAGATGAGTAAGATTTTTTTTTTTACATTAAGAACTAGAAAGTAGTGTTTTGTCTGTGTACACTTGGCACTTAGTGTATTGTTCACAACAGAAGCTCATTGCATGTACCTATTTTTCACTTCCTTTCCCTCAGTGCAGTTAATCAGGCTACCCTCCCATCTCTTCTGTTTTCCTGTGTATAAAAATTATCTTTGGCTAGTCCTATTCCACTACTTTGCAAAAGTCTGTGCTCCCCATCCTCTTCTCACTATTAGTACTGTTCATCTTTCCATTTCATGGCAAGGCTTGTGTATATTCTGTTTTGTGTAATACCTCTTAATGCTACAAATTGTGTACTGTTCAGTATGCTGAACATCATCATGATTTTCTTTATCAAAGTCCTCATTTTACAGGGTCAGTAAATCAAGGCATTCTAAAAAAAAAATCTATAGGATGAACACTGATCATAACAAAACCTGTATGCATTTTTGTATCATCTAACTTTTTGTGTTAAGATCTTAATCTCTTAAAGGGACTAAGCATTAATTAAGGCTAGTTTTAATTGTATACAAAATAAGGTAGAAAAGCCTCCTGGTAACGTTGGAGTCCATGGAGGAAAAAAAAAAGAAAATGTTGGTGTCAGTGTGAATTGTATCAAACCTTAGGTTTTCTGTCTTTAAGCTGTCACAAACTAGTAAGTCTCCTGTAGTGTGATTGTATATCCATATCCTGAAAGTCTGTTACAAAAAATTAGAATTTGCTGATTGCTTCAACAGATAAGTTGGTGACTTAACTAGCTTGCCAAGAAGACTACCTTGACCATTCTAGGCCTAGCTCTGTTTGTAACAAACACAAGGGAAGCTTGCATTGCTACTGTCCATGTTTAATTTCTAAAGGAGAAAGCTTCTGGTGCTCTTTAGTTTGACCAATTTTTCTCACATAATGCGCTGTTGTAGCAGGTAATGATAGCAGGATGTAACATGGTAGGGGCTGATGCCACAAGTCCTCATCTTCTAAACTGGGGCCTCAATCTATTACCAGAAGTCACAAATAATCAACTTTTTATACATTGTTAAATAAAGTCAGAAAAAAGGCAAGGGCTTGTAGCATCTGGGGCCAGAAAACAGAGCTTGAAGCTGTGGAAGGAGGTTCTGTGTGGGAACCTGGTGAAGCAACAGTTAGAGAAGTGCTTCCGTTGAAGTTTGCATAGGATAGGAGTTAAGGTAAGCTCCCTTCCAAAAGGATAAATCTGGGAACAAAAAAACAAACAAACAAACAAACATGGATACTCTGTTCAGAGGAGGCTGGAAAGAGGTTAGTGGTGTAATTGTTGCTGTAATATATAGACTGCATAAAGACAGAAGAGTCTCAGAAAGAGAATGAACAGCAGGAGCAAGGACAGAAACTTGGGGTTGAAGTTCCGGAAGTCATCCTAGAGGTCCAGACTGTCAGTAAATGTTGCATTTTTTCTGTTAAAGCTGGTACCAGGAGACATATAAGGACCTTTGCACCTTTTCCTGCACTTAAAATTGGGTGACTCAGGCTCAAGCTTGGGTGTCCAGCGTTAGTGAAATTGAGGTTAGGACTCAGCTGCCTAAACACAGTATCTTGTGCCACTGTGGATGGCATAGTGGCACTAGACACTGATGGCACTGAATGCCTGTGTTTAGGCAGTTTGATTATTCCTCCAGAATGAAAATCATTTAAGTCAATCTGGAGACTTCAGATCTTGTGACAACATCATTGTTCATGTCAGCAGCTCAGCAAATGGATGTCTGCTTAGAGGGTTCTCTGTCTGACAGAGAACCCAGAATGTGGTGTCGGTTGGGCATCTGGAGAGTATAATATAGAGAAGAATTAATTAATTTGTGTTCTTAAAGACAAACTGAATGCTTTCCCAAACTATAACTCTTAATCCTGGACCTGGCTGGGAAAGACTTTTTTTCTGGTAGAGGAGGTAAGGAGAAAAGCTGTGGAATATTTTCAATGACATATTTGCAAATTCTAGTATAGGAAACAAGCCCAGGAATTTGTAATGATTCTAGTTGGGGCTACTACTCACAGAAAAGCAGTGAAAAGTTACTGCCACTTGAGTTGCTTGAATAGGTATGGGTGGGTTTAACTTTATTTCTTGGTAGACCCGGATCAGGAAGGTACAAAGTGATTTAAATCCTTTAAATCCCTCTTACCTGGAATTACAGGTTTTGTACCCTTTAACATCTCAGTACTGAATTGCATCCACAAGCTTGTAAGATTTTTCTTTTATGCAGGACTTTCCATCAGTTTGTGTCAAAGCGCTACGATGAGTGCAGGAAACTAATAGTATGTATTTTCCTAGAAATGGGGAAAGTGAGAGGCAGTGCATGATGTGAATTACCTGGAGCTGCTCAGGAAATTGACAGCAGTTGTAAACATAACCTGGTTCACCTAGGTTCCAATCTGTAATTTGCTCAGTAGATTCCAGTAGAACTGTCACAAGAAGCAACTTCATATTCTTCCACTAAAAAAAAAAAATTAAATCCATAGACTATTTTGGTTTGTTGCTAGTGCCACAGTTTTGCTGATACACAGCAGACTAATGTATTCAGTGTGAAGTATTCACTTACATTTGAATTCTTGTACTGCTCGTCTCTGACTTTACTGTGTCTTGGAAGAGGGTTGTGTTGATCAAATGATCTTCCATGCTTTGACTTCTTCAGATCTCCTTTCACTGGCCAGACTCCAGCCACAGGTATAGTCACAACAGCCAGGATTCCCATCTTCAGCAAACAGGGATCCAGAATGACATATGCCTGTTTCTTCCCTTCAACTTTTAGATGCAGTGGATTCTTTCCCACTGACACTCATAATGTAAAACAATTATAACAAATGAACAATAAATAAAAGGTTACTTATTTTACAGTACCTGTGCTTGTCTGAGAAGTGTTGCCCAGAGAGCACTTTCCTAAGTGATTCCTAGTGAAAGGACAGTTACTTGAAACTGGCCTGTGTTACATCCTTTGCTGCAGTGATCACAAAAAATTCCCAAGACCATATAATTAGAGAGTTTGATTTCTGAAAGCAGGATGGGAGTGTTCCCCTGTAGAACTGAAATTTGTGTAGGACATGTTTTAATCGCACAATAAAAATATACCAGCCTTCACCTTTGCCCTTTCCTACTGAAACAGAAGACTAACAAATTTGTTTTGTTGAATTGCATATACAGTGAGCTAACAAGTGGGAGTGTTTCTCAAGTTAAGGGTTTATTAAATGAAACAACAGTTTCAGCTATACAATTGCTTACTTTTAATACAGCAGAATAATTTTTCTCAGAATGACCAATTAAGAAATGCCTGTTCTAATGAGGCTGAATCAATCTACCATGCTCTTAAATTCCTGGTATACTTTGCAGCTCTTTTTAGAGAAACATTTTTTAAGGTTCATGTAGACAAAATGAAAGCTGCAACTTCAGAGTTTGTGAAGTTACAATAATTCTCTTAAACTTTCTCTGTATTCTGTATTTTTACTGCCTTTCATTGACTTTTTTAATTCTAACGTGGGAATGTTATCACAATTGTAAATATGATTTTTGAAATTACAGACAATTATTGAAAGTTTGTGTGTAATGGGAATATATGCTTATTTTTGTGCAGTGAAAAATAAGTTATGGGTTTGTCTCCTTAAATCAGCAGGTGCTTCAAACTAGGAATTTATTAAGTCACAGACATTTGTAAGCTTAATTGTTAATTATATCACTTTAATGCATTTCCATGCAATGAAAGCTTTCCCTTCACTGTATTTTTCTTTTCAGTGCTTTGTTCAGTGTTAGTTTTGGAAGTCTTTGTACAGTATTGTTTCCTTTCTTCTTTTGCATTGAGATATTTGAGAAAAAGCCTGCTACTCTTCACCAGTAGAATAAATGTTTAATTTGATTCAATATCTTATTGCCTCTCTCCTTTTATGTGGTCTTGATTTGATTTTAATGAATAAAAGCTGCAAGAAAATTACAGAAAATACAGTCCCTCGTTTGCAGATCTAGATCGTCAATGATCTTCAGCAGTTTTACTCATAGATTGTACCATCCTTTCTGGGACAAGTTCCAGATTGTACCAATGAACATTAAGTCTTTAAGTTATTGTTCTTCAAATAAAAAGAATGACATAGTGAATTATAATTCAAAAAGCAGTACAGGCTGAGGTGCCCATTTGAAACCACTTTTTCAAATGAATTGATACTCATTTTCAGTATTAAGTAAATGCTGTAGTTCCCTATGTGTAAATAGGATAAATAATTTCAGCAGAAATGGTAACAATGAAAGCTATGATAGAATTGCAGTACTGCTAGATTTCTTAAAAGCTGGTATTGTACATGTAAATTGCATGTTTCAGAAGGTTCATGGGCAATCTCTTAAAATGAATAGAATGAGATATTTAATAGTGATCTGTACTAATACTTTCAAGAGCTACTTGTTTGTTTGTGAATTCACACAAAGCTGATGAATGCTGCTTAAGCCTCATCATTAGTTGTCACGTAGCAGTTTACATCTTCAGAGTGCTGTATAAA